TCAGGCAATTCTCCTGCCTCAGCCTCCCGAGCAGCTGGGACTACAGGCACGCACCATCATGCCCAGCTAATTTTTTGTATTTTTTTAGTAGAGACGAGGTTTCACCTTGCTGACCAGGATGGTCTTGATCTCTTGACCTCGTGATCCACCCGCCTCGGCCTCCCAAAATGCTAGGATTATAGGCGTGAGCCACCGCGCCTGGCCAGCTTTTAAAAATTTTTTGTAGTGATGGGATCTCACTATGATGCCCAAGTTGTTCTCAAACTCATTGGCTCAAGTGATTCTGCTGCCTCAACCTCCCAGTGTGCCACCATGCCCTGCCTAACCACTTTATTTATTTTGAGATGGAGTTTCACTCTTGTTGCCCAGGCTGGGGTGCAATGGCTCGATCTTGGTCCACCGCAACCTCTGCCTCCCAAGTTCAAGCAATTCTCCTGCCTCAGTCTTCCAAGTAGCTGGTATTGCAAGCATCCACCACCAGGCCTGGGTAATTTTTTAAATATTTTTAGTAGAGACAGGGTTTCTCCATGTTGGTCAAGTTGGTTTCGAACTCCTGACCTCAGGTGATCCACCCACCTCAGCCTACCAGTGCTGGGATTACAGGCATGAGCCACCACGCCTGGCTAACAGCAGGTATTGTTTAAATGACTAGATTAGAAAAACAATCATGGTAGACCCCTTAGTTCATTCTTGTAATAAGCCTGTTGATCTGGTCCTCCCTGTTGCCAGCATCTCCACTTTCTACAAAATGGATGGTCTTTTTCTTCATTCCACCTTGTGGAAAGGATAATTTGAAGGACCACAAGAAGTTATTTGCTTCTTTGAGGCATTTTCCTACAGTATAGATCTCATGAATCAGATCCTCCATGCAGGTGATGCCATATTTACCAAGAGATCGAGCAATCAAAGTGTTATCTGTCAAAGCAATTTGCTTCTTACTGATTTTGCCATAACCACACTGGTAGATTAGTTCATTTACTGACTTCAGATTTGGGTACCCCCATGCAATATATCGTTCTGCAATCCTCAGCATGTTAATTGAAGCCTTGTTAAGCTTCACAAAGGTTCCACTGAAGATTTGACAAAGGCAAAGAAGCTGCAACAGCTTTCAGACCTTTGGGCTCAGTATTGATACCTCTGATCCTGATGACAAACATCACTTTGGGTTTTGCAGGTACATAGAAGTTGCCAGCTTTTCTAGCCATCCTTGCCACGCGAATTTCAGTTCTGTCCATCTGCCTATATTCCTTGTGATAGTGCTCTGCTTTTTCATAGATAAGCGTTCTTGCTTTATGAAGCATCTTTTGGGCAAACTTCTTTCTCAGGCCATTGATCTTCAGCTCTGTGAAATTCCTTTGCATTTTAAAGGTTTCTGGCCTAGCAGGAACCTTCTTTTTCTTTTCTACAACACCCTAAATGGTTCCAGCCAGAAAAGAGGCTTTTTTTTTTTTTTTTGAGACTAAGTCTTGCCCTGTCGCCCAGGCTGGAGTGCAGTGGCAAAATCTTGGCTCATTGCAAGCTCCACCTTCCGGGTTCCAGAGATTCTCCTGCCTCAGTCGCCCAAATAGCTGGGATTGCAGGCACACGCCACCACACCCAGCTAATTTTTGTAGTTTTAGTAGAGACAGGGTTTCACCACATTGGCCAGGCTGGTCTCAGACTCCTGACCTCAGGTGATCTGTCCACCTTGGCCTCCCGAAATCCTGGGATTACAGGCATGAGTCACCACGACCAGCTTTTTTTATTTTTGAGACAAGGTCTCACTCTGTTGCCCAGGCTGAAGTGCAGCGGCTCGATCTCAGCTCACTGCAGCCTTGACCTCCTGGACTCAATCGATTTTCCTCTCAGCCTCCCAAGTAGCTGGGACCATAGACATGTGCCACCATGCCTGGCCAATTTTTGTATTTCTGGTAGAGACAAGGTTTTGCCATGTTGCCCAGGCTGGTCTTGAACTCCTGAGCTCAAGCGACCTGCCCACCTTGGCCTCCCAAAGTGCTGGGATTATACGTGTAAGTCACTGTGCCTGGCCATATGTTTAACTTTTTGAGGAACCATCAAACTGTTTACCACAGAGGCTGAACCATTTTACATTCCTACCAGCAATGTGTAAGGATTCTAATTTCTCCACATCCCAGTTTGGCTGGGCACGTTGGCTCAAGACTGTAATCCCAGCACTTTGGGAGTCTGAGGTGGGTGGGTCACTTGAGGTCAGGAGTTTGAGACCAGCCTGGCCAATCTGGTGAAACTCCGTCTCTACCAAACAATACAAAAAAAAGAAAAAATATTAAAAATTAGCTGGGCATGGTGGTGGGTGCCTATAGTCCCAGCTACTTGGGAGGCTGAGGTGGGAATATTGCTTGAACCCAGGAGGTAGATGTTGCAATGAGCTGAGACAGCGCCACTGCACTCCAGCCTGGGTGACAGAGTTGAGATACTGTCTCAAGAAAAAAAAAATTTAAGAAATGCTATATAATTTGCCCTAAATAGAAGATAATGATGAATTAAATATAAGCCCCTGACTTTTTGTCTTGAGACCTAGACATTTTAAAAAACTGCACTACACCATAAGGCACAGAGTGAATATTTATTTATCATAGAGGTCAAGCCTAAGCTCTAATTTTATAAGTCCTGGAAAAGCAGGCCAGAAAAGTACAGAGACTTGCCCAAAGTCAAAGCTAAAGATCCTCCCAGAGGCCGGCAGAGAGGAAAATGCTTTAGTAGCACTCTATAACTGGACCTTCATATCTACTTACTCTAAGCATCCCTTCAAGTTCCTGACCCCAAAGTAAAAATCCCAGTAAGAAAACAATAGAGATGGTTTCCAAATAGGAAGTAGGACACTGTGAATACCAACAAGCAAAAACAGTCTGGCTAAAGATAGCTGCCACTTAGGACATCTGAGCATGAAAATAGCTAATTTTAAAATGGCTGTTTAATAAATGCATGCAAGAAATCTGCTCTTGTAGCCCCTACATCTATACAAATAAAAAAATACAAGTAGAGATAAAATAAAATGGCCATTAAAAAAAAAACCAAAAAATTCTGTGGTCCCAATTGTCTTTTCATTTATTCATAAAGATTTCTGATCCCACCCATGTTCCAGGACAAGTCATATCAATATACCCCAAACCTTTCTAACGCCCTAAGTTCTTTCTTCCAAATATCTTCTAATATTTTATTTAGTGGAGGGAAAAGGGTAGTGGAGGTTTCAGGTGGATGACATCTCCAAAGGGGAAAGGACAAAGGCCTCTGGCTTGGCTTCCTGCTTCAGCACTCCAGTCAGCAGGAACTCAGGTGAGAGGAGGGGCAGCCCAACCCTTCGTGGAACAGAGCATCGAGGGAAGTCCTGGGGGCATGTGATCACAACTCTCTGAGGCTGGGGAAGACAGAGCAAAAACAAAATTAGGGGTGAAAAAAAATCCTAGAAATGGGTTCCGGACCCACTAACAAGTCTTAGTATCACCAAAATAGTACCTCCTAATATGAAGCCACATGAAGCATACTGCATACTGGCTATAAAATATTCTTGCTAGAGGCTGGGCATGGTGGCTCATGCCTGTAATCCCAGCACTTTGGGAGGTCGAGGTGGGTGGATCATGAGGTCAAGAGATCGAGACCATCCTGGCCAACATGGCGAAACCCCGTCTCTACTAAAAATACAAAAATTAGCTGGGTGTGGTGGCGCATGCTTGTAGTCTCAGCTACTTTGGAGGCTGAGGCAGGAGAATTGCTTGAATCCAGGAGGGGAAGGTTGCAGTGAGCAGAGATAGCAACACTGTACTCCCAGCCTGGCAACAGAGCGAGACTC